TACATAATTGCCAATTAAATACTTCCTTTAGTTAGTTATCCTGTGTTTACTTCACTAGATTCAATTTATGGAAGTTTTATTTAGAGATCTGCCTCAGATCTTTTGTGATGCAAAATGAAATATAATACATAAATAAAGCATCTCAGTTTTATAAATGGCATATTTAATAATAATACAAACAAAAAATACCAGCTATATTGCTACATTAGTCCTAACATCTCTCTGGAAAATTAAAGATGGTTGGCATACATCAGTGGTTGTCAACAAAAATGGATTTGTCCACTGAGTGACATTTAGCAATGTCTGGTGTTTTGGTTGTCACATCTAGGAAGTGTTACTGGTATCTAATGAGTAGAGACCTACTACCATTCATAAGATTGCCAATAAAAAATAACAATTAAACTGGGGTTTAAAGAACATGTTACAGAAAATTGGGCTATATATATGGGCCAAGAGCAAGATTTAGAAAGGAATATTTTCTTAACAATGAGATTATTCAGTATTAAAATAGATTACTACAGAGAGAAACTGGCTCACCTTGGTTGCACAATGGAGTCCCCTAGGAAGCTTTATACACAAAGTGCCCACCTCTACCCTCAGGGAGTCTAATTAATTCATCTATTATGGGACTCAGTACAGTTGTGAAAACTCTCCAGATGATTCTAATGAAAACCAAAGTGAAGAACCAGTGTCCCAAAGCAAAAGAAAGAAACCCAACAACCTGTTCTTAAAAAAATAAAATTTACTTTCAGCCAGAAGTATTCTTGACATGATAGAAATACTGCATACATCATTCCTGCTCATGGAGGCCCTCGCATCAGGACTTGGGCAGCCTTCTTTCACTGTTGCTGCTCAGTTGCAGAAGGCCTGAAAGCTGGTTTCTGAAGTGGAGACAAGTAAGAGGATTCAGAGTCCAATGCTGTGGTGAAGAGCTGACCTATGGTGCATTACCCTCTGAGCCCTGAATTCTGAGGAATCTTTGTTTAGGACAGCTTCATGGCACATGAGGGGATAAGGAACCACACATTCATTGGCTGGCCCAAGCATGTGTTACAGTTGCCCTGAGATACTCGAGAACAAAAACAGAAGGATAAAGATGAAAAATGGTCAGACTTCAGTCCCCTAAGGATGTCTAGGATTGGCTCTTTCATAGGTACACTTGGATGCTGAGGAGATAAAATTAAGCCAACAGCAGAGGACTTGGGGAAACAATATACTTTTTTTTTTTTTAAGAGGTTTTTGCTATAGGGTGCATGCGCTCACCAGACACACAGAGAGAGACAGAGAGACAGAAAGCGAGAAATCACCCCCCGGGGTGATGACCATGCCGCAATCCCTTCTCCTCCATTCTCCTCTCAGGATCTTGGGCACGCACGCACACGCACCCAACGTGAGTTTAAGCCAAAGGGTCCAGGACGCAAACCGCGATCAACTACATAGAAGTCCAATGACATAGCCATTACGCTAACTGCTGGTCCCCTTTTTTTCTTTTTTAATCTTTAACAGATATAACTCTAAAATTTCTCTTTTGACCAATAAGCAAGCCATTTCCCTGGATGTAAAGACAGGGAGGACATTAATAGTAAGAAAATTGTAGCTTTTGTCTATGCACTAAGTATCCGAAGTGAGTCCTAGGGGTTACTATAAACAACTATACAGAATTAGTATCCATTGGGGGCCCGCTGAAATGAGTAAGTTTGAAGAAAGTCCAGTAACTGAAGAGTCAAGAGGAGAAGATAGCAGAGGATTGGGCATGTAGGGTCTGGAGAGACCCAATATGGATCTAATATGGCACGAGCTTTATTTTCCCATTCTTCAGATGAAGATGCCGAGGTTCAGAGAGGTTGTGAATGATAGTCAAGAATCTGGATGTGCAGAGCTGGAAACCAAAGCCAATTTTACTTCACTCCAAAGATTCTTCATTGGTTTAAAGTGAATTCTGGATCAACAGAGAAAGCCAAGGGAAATCTCTCACTCTCACCTTAGGTTCATGGTTGCAAGTAGCTTATAAATGAATAAATAGATTTCCAGAATTTCAGGGCTGCTCACTTCTAAACACAGCTGAGCTAGGAGTTCACAAGGACTCCAATAACCACAGCCAACCTAATGGACTGGTGGGGAAAGGTCGTGTCTGGGACGAAGGGGTGGATGTGCAACAAGACATGAAGAAGAAAGTACTTCTGGAGGGAGGAAACAATCCAGGAGTTGCCACTGAGTTTGTGAGTTCTATGTGATAAACTGACTTCAGTGTCCTCTTCAAAGTACCACAGATAAAAAAGAATCTATTTTAATAAAGGCAATGAGGTTTTTCATATGAAATAGTAAGTGTTCATTATAGAAAATGTGGAAAATCTAGGAAAAAGAAATGAAGAAAAACACATGATTACTTGATAAAACAACTGCCATTAAAATCTGTTGTAATTTTCCATTTTCCCATCTTTTTTCTATTCATATAATTTACAAATTATATGCCCTGCTTTTTGTCACTTAATATTGTAAAATAAGCATTTTCTATCTTCTTAGCACTCAATGTGTTATTACTATATTGTAATTGTATATATTTGTATATAAATTATTATAATTTAGAAAATTATTAACTATTCTGTTATATGCATATGTCGAAATATACTAACCTATTGCTAGACATTTAGTTTAAAAGTTCTTAAGGCCAAATAGTGGCACTGTTTTAATGCAACTCAACCCACATGAGAATGTCCTGGGATCACTTCCCAAGGCCTCCCTCTACATGCTGGAGAGGACGCATCCTTGATCCAAGCTGGCAAAACCAGGGGTGAATCACACTGGGAGGACCTTTTGGGAGTCTCTCACTCATGAAAGAAATACACTTTTTTAAAATATTAAAAATAAAAGATTATACATTTTGAAATGGAATAATTGGACCAAAGATAGAGAAGATTCAAGGATCTGAGGTAGTTAGAGAGGCTGGATTCTCACTGAGGCAGGTCTTCTTAGCAATATGTTTATGCCTGGGTTTGATCCTCAAACTTGGAATGTCCATAATTCAATTTTATTTGTACAGTGAATAATTGGTTCTTACAAATTATATGGGAATAAACTAAAACTAAATTGTAATAGAAATTAAAAACACCACATGGGGATGGGAACTCATTGTACTGTTTACCAAATATTTCTGATCTGAAGCTTCCAATGCACTCTAGGTTCATACTCCCAGCTTTTTGCGGTTGGTTGAGAAATGTGTCTAGTTCTATTGTGGAATTGTGTTTGGAACTGAACACTTACAAGAGTAAGAACCTCTGAGACTCTGCCTGCGTCACTGTGTCTGGCAGTGTTTGCGAGGATGGCTGGTCCATCAGCCTACAGTAAGAGTGTGGCCAAGAAATACTTTATAATCTTAAGTCATTGAGACTTGGAACTTGGTTGTTACTGCAGCATGACCTAGTTCATCCTGACTGCTACAAAAGAGATATTCACATTAATTCAACATATTTTATCTTCGCAACTAGAAATCAACTAAAGTTAAAAGATTGCTATTAGGAATTAATGAGAATAAAATTATTTATATATTCCAATTGTTTCACCGCCCTTCTTTAAGGATATTACAATGTTCACTCTTACTCAAGATTTCTTCCTCCCTGATAGCTCTGGCTGGGCAAAGCCAATGTTTACTTTATGAGTCTACTTTTCTGCCCTTCTGCTGTGGACCAAGCCAACCTCTGATGGTCACAGTCTTTATTTTGTTGTTGTCTTTATTTTAAAAGTCACACCGTATACTACTTAACAAATGAACAGTCTGAGATCAAATGAAATAAAATGCAAAAAGAACTGCTTTCTTCCCTGTTCTACCAGTCAACTCCCCGGAGTTCACAGTTCGGAGGGCACCCCCCAGGCATTTTCTCTGCTGTTCGAAGTACAAATAAAATCCTACTCTTCTATTCTCTAGGCTTTGCTTATCCCTTAGTTGGCCAGGTATCTTTTCATGTCAGTGCATACTGATTTGCCCATTTCTTTTTAATGACAACAAAGCTTCAAAGATTTACCATTTTTTATTTAACCAGTTTCTTACTGATAGACAGGTATTTTTCCAGTCTTTTGCTCCTGTTAGTAATGCGCCAATGAATACCCTTGTAAATTATACCTTTTGCACACTCATACAGTTAGTCCAGAAAGAAAAGTCCTTGAAGTAGAATTCTAAGTTGAAGGGAATTTGCTTTAAGAGCCAATAAGTATTACCAGTTCTCTTCCTAAAGGTCAAATCAATTTACATTCCCACCAATACAGTGTGAGAGTTCTTGTCTCTCCACTCTCAAGAAAACAATGTACTAACAAATTTTAAAATCTCTGCCATTCTAATGAAAACAGAACCTACTTTGCTGTGTTAAAATGGATTTCCTTGATTAGAAATGAATTTATGGTTGTTTTTCCTTCAAGTATGATAACTTTAGTCAAGTGCATGAGGACTGGGTGGCATTCTTTCTTTTTAAGCTGTGTTGATTTGAGGGTCAGGAGCTGGCATGGTGACTAAGGCACCAGACTCCCACATGGCTGACTGTGGTTCAAGTCCCAGATCTGGAAGCTTGAAAATCACTCTAGACGCATTTGTGTGCATGCTCAAAATCCCAGGAGGAGAATGGAGGAAAGGAATTGCAGCATGGCCATACCCCTGAGGGGTGATTTCTCACATTCCCTCTCACTGTTTCTTTGCTTCTCTCTAGCAAGCACACATGCCCTATAGCAAAAACCAAAAAAAAAAAAAAAAAAAAGATGAGCTGATTCTGTGGTTTGAATTTCTGAGAATACTCCTATTTTAAGCCCTGAGGAAACATCCTATTTTTGCCTATCACTTACTGAATAAACAGGGCCCACAGCATTCCTAAGTCATCTATACCTACATTGAAGTCAAGATAGATATCAATATTGCAGCTGGGGTGCTTTACGATGACGTCAGTGCAGGTGGACTGGGGGTTTGGTCAGCCTTGGAGCCTCTCATTTAATTGATATGATGTGTCCTTTCATTGCAGCAATTCAGTTTTGTGTCTTTGCCCACGGACGTGCTGGAAATTGAGGTGAAGGACAAGTTCGCTAAGAGCCGTCCCATCATCAAACGCTTCTTGGGGAAGCTGTCGATGCCCGTTCAGAGACTTCTGGAGAGACACGCCATAGGGTAAGCCTGTAACCGAAATCTCAGTATCATCAGAGCTTCAGTCAACAGGCCACGCCCAAGGGAGGCTTGTAAACTGCAATGCTACAGTCTCGTAGAGAGTCAGACCAAAATGGCGTTCTATTTTCCTGGTTTCACCAGTTAATTACGTCACCTCAGCCACAACAATCAATTTAACACACCCTTCCTTTTCCCTCTGTGTGTCACTGATAACTTATGCAACTGAGTTTAAAAATCCTATGACAGTATTAAAAGAAGCACTCAATGTGGGACCAGCAGTTGGCATAATGGCTATGTTGCTGGACTTCCATGTAGTCAGCCGTGGTTCGAGTCCCGGACCCAGTGGCTTAAACTCATGCTGGACGTGTGTGCGTGCGTGCCCAAGATCCCAAGAGGAGAATGGAGGAGAAGGGACTGCGGCATGGCCATCCCCCCTGGGGGGTGATTTCTCACTTTCTGTCTCTCTGTCTCTCTCTTTCTGGCGAGCGCATGTGCCCTCTAGCAAAATTCTCTTCAAGAAAAAAAAAGCAGCAGCACTCAATGGGGAATGTTCCTGCCCAGTAGAAACTAAGTTCATTTTTACCATGAAGATTATTATTTCATTCATATGCCCGTCTTATATCTAGGATTTTATCTAAGCCATGTTTCATAACCAAATGAATGCTGGGTTGGTTACTAGTGTAGAGCGTCTTAGAAGATGTTCATATTTACAGTAAACGCTAGATAACGTAGTAAAATTTTGAAAGCATGAAGTTTCATGGAATGACAACAATTAATGTTGCTTGCAGGATTCAGCTGTACATGAGAGTAGTTTTCTGTGTTTTCTATCTTTTACATTCATGCCCCTGATTCTCCTTAAACTATGGTCAAATAAAATCCTTATGTATAATATGAACTTCCTTAGGTAGCAGCAACCATATTTCAAAACAGTAGGTAAAATTCATCAGCCATACCTGTGATTCAATACAAGGTAACAATTGGCACACCAAAGGAATGAAAACTATGCAGAGTTTCCAAGTGTCTTAAAGTTTTTTGAATTTCCAGAGGGGACTTTGGAGTCACTCATGATCACCAAAAAAACACCTCATAGGGCCCTCAGAGCATGTTTGCACCTTAGACGTGCTATTAACTCGCGAGCCAAAGGGAGCGGACACTTGTGGAGCTGCAGTCGTGTGTCAAACACAGCATCTACACTTTCCATTCATGGTTATAAGAATTAAACAAACAAACAAACAAAATGTGTACATAAAGAACCCAATACAGGGAACCAGCAGTTGGTGTAATGGCTATGTCGCTGGACTCCCACGTATTCGACCGCGGTTTGTGTCCCGGACCCGGTGGCTTAAAACTCACGCCGGGCACGTGTGCGTGCATGCCCAAGATCCCAAGGGGAGAATGGAGGAGAAGGGATTGCGGCATGACCATTCCCCTGGGGGGTGATTTCTCGCTTTCTATCTCTATGTCTCTCTCTGTCTGTCTGGCGAGCGCACGTACCCTACAGCGAAAATCTCTCAAAAAAAAAAAAAAAAAAAACCCAAAAAACGCCCCTGGCAAACAGGC